GATCTATGGTTTGAACGAGAATGGTTGGATCTGAAGTGTGTGACTAACGGCTCGAGTTGGAGCCCATGGATTGCCATCTCCAAGGGGATTTCTTCTTTCTTTTCTCTCTGTCGTTTCAAAGTGTGTAATGGGGAGAGGGTGATGATGCGGACATCATTAGTTAGTTTCCTGATTTATTAGTTTCCTAGATTCTCAAGTTTTCCAGATTTCACTAGGATTTTAGTTTCCAGATTTTTAGTTGGATTTGATTTAAGTTTCCTAGTTTATTTTTACTTAGTTCCTTGGTGGATTAGGATTTCTGTTTTAGTAAGGGATTTTTATCCTATTGTCTCTAGGTTTTAGTTTGCTACAAATACCCCCCATGTAGTTCTTTAAAATTCAGTTGTTGAGATATAAAGAAAAGCTTATTTTCCAGAGATTGGAGACTACTTGGTGTGAAGCCAAACCCCTGGTGTGAAGCCAAACCCCTGGAGTGATTCCAGACCTATCCCTTTTGTTCTATTTTCTGTTTTCCATTGTTTTCGCTTCCGCTAAACTACCTAAATACTCAATTCACCCATATCCTACATCAATATCCCTATATTATTAAGAAATTACCAAACAGAATCAAGAGAAGATTAATATGGTAGAGCTTTTTTTTTGTTTTTTTGTTTTTTTCACACAAGGATTAGATATGATTTAGCCTTACCCAAGACTCAAATACTGCTAATAAGCTGGATACAAGAGTGAGCATCAAAGAAGGGTAATAATGTCAACAATTGCTTTACGAGAAGACTAAAACGAATATTTAAAGGGAACCAAGCTCCCAAATGTAATAACATACAACTTATGGTCACTCCAAGAAACGAAAGGGTCTGATGTTTTGGAAGAGAGGGAAAAGGAGGCCTTTAGGAATCTAATGAGAAATCTTATAACATTCTATACATATATATTGGAAGTAAAAAATGAAAAAATCAAGGGGTCATGTTCCTCCTAAGCCCTGCTTATTCATGCTATATTGGCTGGGAGTGTGGCCTGCCAAATTGGTGCGACCTTTTATTTATTTGGAATTCTTGGGGGATATTTGAGCTTACGAGATCCTGTAGTAGAAAAGACAGGTGATGTCTGGACAGGTGGAGGAAGGGGTGTCTCTCTAGAGGAGGTGGACTCGTTCTTACACAGTGAGTCAGGTAGTATCCCTACTTATTTTGTCAATCTTCAGACTACCAAGAAGAGTGGCCAAAAGCGAAGAAAATCCGATGAGAAACTTTCTATGGGAATGGAGTGCTCAAGGGAAAGAATATTTTGTAACATCATAGAAAGTGTTTATTTCTTTGCCAAGGTTGTACACCATGATTTTTCCTTTGCCATTTACAATTTTTCCATTCTAACATCATAGAAAGTTTTTTATTTCTCCGTTTCAAAAATATAAAAAAACACTTTTCCTCTCATATCTTTCATTGATAGTACATACTACCACTAAATTATGTAATTTTAACTTGAAACATCGCCAGAACTCTTGAAATTTCAGTCAAATTCAAATTTGGATATTGAGCAAGCAAATAGAGATTGAAACAAAATCCTCAGACTGATGTAGGGGCAAAGTTAAAAGTTTAGTATATGAGAGTCTTTCTATTTTCCTATGTAATAAATTCAATTTTCTGAAGATAAATTGTCTTTGAGTCTCTATGTCACATGATTAATGTATTAGTTTTCATAATTATGTCTTTAGAACTCTCAATGTATTAATGTGGATCTTTCCAGATTCATGTACCAATTACCCTATAAAAGGGGCTTGTCAATTTCTGCTTGTGTGTAAGGCACAGGTTGACTTAGAGTGATTCCAAGGTACCTTTGGTGTGACGCTGAAGGAGGGTGCAATGCCTTAATTTTTCTAATTTCTTTACTGCACACCTTTGGTGCGAAGCCAAAGGTCGGAGTGAGTCCGGATCTCTTTATTTTTCTACTGTCCTATATCACAGCCACATACCCACAAGCAGATATGAACCAACCCCTTTGGACTTCTGCTAAAAGCACCATTCAATTTTGTGGTACGGCCTAATTCAAAATTATACCCAATTGAGCATGTTTACAATTTTTTTTTTAATTACAGTAGAAGGGATCCTTCTAACTGACTCAGTTGAATTCATCACCATATTAGTCCAGCAGTTATAACTAGTATCTTGAGCCAAACAATAAAATGCTTCCACCCAAAAAGACAAACAACGCAAGCAAAAAACTACAAAAAAAACTACAAGAAGCTAAGCTATAGGAAACTGCAGGCAGCGAAAGAACATAAAGCTAAAGATAGAGAAATTCATTTCTTTTTCAAGAACGGAGACAAGCATTTCTTTTACAGGAGTGGAAACAAGCATGTTAAAGTAAATCAAGTCAATATTGCATACCTTACGCATACGTTCAGCAAGTTCAACATGAGCTGCCTTTACTTCATAATCATCCCCAGTTTTTGTCAAACCCTGCAAATTTATGAATTTTAGCATGGAAGCTTTACTTTTATCGGGGGAGCACTCAATGAGTTTTAAATAACAATTCAACTACTCTAATAGAGGTGTAAAATGGGCTGGACTGGCATGAGCTAGACACGATTAAAACAGGCATGAAACGACACAGGAAACAAACAAGCCACCTGAGCTGAAGTTTCTTAGCTCATTAGGCAAGATTGCACACAAATGGGCCTGAATTAGGAATGACACTATTTGTTTTTCTTAAAAAATTATTTAATCATAAGAAAATAGTAAAATCGAAGACAAGTTGAAAAGCACTAAATGCACCAAGAGGAAAACATCATGAGTAAGAATGGGTTGTGCCAAGCCACGCCTGGTCTTGGCTATCTATTTGTTTGGGTAGGGAAAAGCACTGACACGAATATAAAATCGGTCAGCATAAGCATAACACAAAGCACGAATTGCACTTTAACTGCGTCATATCTGCATGGTATGACTGTTTGGCACCTCTATACTTTGGGAAAAAGCCGAGGGACTAAGCGATGACAGCTAAGGCACTATTTAAGCAAAAAAAAATATCCAACCTTAGTTATAACCAACAGCGATAAATCCATGCGATTCATAAGAAGATCTGAGATGGTATTCTTGACATACTGGACTGCCCCAGGAATATCTCTGTCAATCAGTAATTTGTGCAGGCACTCATTTACCAGGTTTTTAACCAACAAGCAATTGTCTCTTCGTACTGTTTCAATACCTGCTAATGATAAATAATGAAATAAGTGATACATTCAACACAACACAGAAATTATAGAGGTTGAGAAATTCTAATTAACCTTTAGTATCCATCTTGTCGAACTTATCTGGACTTGTCCACAATAAACCAGCATATCTCTTCTTGCTAATCAGAAGATATGGATAATAAACCTTCTCAAACTCCAGCTTGATAGGCTTCATGACACCGAAACAGAAAATACAGACTTAGAAAATAAACCTTACCAAAGAATGTAAAGAAGAGCTAGGTTTGATGATACTATAAGGGGAAATAAGTCAAGTGCAAATTAGTACTATTGCACATGTATGGTAGTACTCTCATACCTAAAGAACCAACAAAAAGCTGTGGGGTTTTACAGCTCTAGTGGAAGATAGCATTAACCACATACCGAAGACCACAGTTTGAATTTCACCTTCCCCCTTGCCCTCCTTTTCCCCGAAAAAAAAGACAATTGTTAACTAGAAGTTAACTTAATAAGGTCCAGCTCTGTCATCCCACTATTTATATTAACAAGTGTTAAAAACAAGAACTTATGATGCATCAATACCTTCTTTTCTCTATAACCCTAAATTAACTAATAATTGAAACCATTTCACTAAAAGAATAGTATGTAAACGTATAGATAGTTTAAATAAACACTACATTAATCAACACCCATTTTCTGCGGTCACCTTATTTCGTTCTGGCTTGAGAGGACATTTTAGGATGTTCCCAAGAACTTCTGTGTGTGCATGTGTGTTAGCAGTCCATCATGTATCTCTAACTTAGCACTATAGTAATGAGCAACCAAAGACACAATATTTCAACAAAAAAAAACACAAAATCAAGTGACATCAACTCCTACTTTTATGAAAGTTCCACTGATGTATTCAGCAGCTTCTCTCCCCAAGTTCATTGCTGCTTCAACGGTGGACACACCGAATTGCACCATAACGGAGTCTGTGTCCCCGTATATAACCTAAGGCAATAACATTGTCAACTTGCATTGGATACATATGTGTAACAATTATCAAGGATAAAGGTTCACAATAAAAAACATGTAACTGGATAAATTATTATTAATGCTTCCTAGTGCAACTGTCGCAATAAAGATTTGAACAAGGATGAATTTTCATTATGTTCACCATATGTTCGTACTTTTTTTTTTAACATCATATGTTCATACTGTTCAAAATAATATACAATTTTTTTAGGAGTTACTTGATACATGATAAAGATTGTAAGATGACAGGGCAACATTACACCGATAAAGGCCAAGAAAACCCAAAAGTGCCAAAGACAATATTAGTTACTCAACTCACAAGAATATATCCTCCCGCTACTTTCCCATACAATAAATATTTAAAGCCAAAACCCTAAGAACATGAGCATTTGACTCTTTTTTGTTCCTGTTTTGATGAGAGCACTAGACTTGATTTCAGAACAAAAAATTAACAGAACTCGTTTGAAGATTAAATAATTTTGAGACAGCAAAGGAGGTACAAAAGGAAGAGAATCGCAGCAACATTTTGCCACCAGAAACACGTATCCTGGTATTCCAGTTTTTGGAAAGCTCACTAATCAGATAGATATTATCGACTAAGATACAGATACTACTGTCGGTCTTACCCTAAAGCCTCGAAATGTTTCAAATTTGGGTGAGTATCCTATTAAGAAACAGTCATACACACAAGAGCCGGCAAATAGGGTGGCAGACCCAAAATAGAAGAAAAAAGGAAGGAAAGAGTAAATACGACTGTAATTGATTGGCTCTATGTGAAATCTAGCACATATTTTACATTAAAAGTCCATTGCTTTGACAAGAACACTTTTTACAGTACAAACAACCAAAAAAAAAGTTAAATAACATAGGTTTCCAACAATTGTAAACCTGTTATTGAGGAAAAGTTGCAGTGACATACCTCAGCATTGTGTTCATAGCCTTTAAGTGTGGTAAATTTTTCTTTTACAAGATTTTTTGTGTGCTCAATCATCTGTCGACCTTTACAAGACGACCAACTCATAAGATCAGGCACAGCTCAATCTGTTCAATAGAGTAATATAATGATAACTAAATGATTATGTTTGAAATGTACCATAGCTCGTGACACTTGATGATATCTCTATGCATGGTAACTGACCAATAGTAGCTCCAGTAAACCCATATACGGAATTTGCACTTATCTAGATGTAGTGACAAATGAATATATGAATACATATACACAAATACAAGCACACTTGTAGTGGAAAAACTATGTTTAAAAAATAATGAAAACAGTTCAAAATTATACTTTTAAGGCCAGTTGTCGACCATCAAGCACTGCCTTCTCAAGTGGATCTTTTGCTTCCTAAAATTAAAAAATGATAGTTCATTTAGTCACATGCAAACAAAAAGTGATGTGTAAGCTTGCAAGGAAATAACATGTCATATCCACACAAAACAATTTCTAAAACAGTCAACAAACGCCATTGAAATACATAAATGGAATATACCTTTAAATCTGCTTTTGCTCTCTTACGAGCAGCTAGTAGTTCTTCTAGAATTTCAGGAAGTATTCCCTGAAAGCATATTATGATGCATTCTTATTAATCCAATGATTTACTTGATGAGAAAAAGTAGAGATATGACATACCAAATTAAATAAATAACTTTTAAATCTGGCATCTTTGATGATTAGAAAAACAACATTAATAACATAATATATATATATATATATATAGGACCTTCTGCAAATTGGATTTAACAAATGTTTCTCCAGATGGAGTTTTGTTGACAAATTCTGGAGGGATGTTGAGTTTGTGAGCATCTTCAGTTGTCACCTTCATAAAGCAAAAGGGGATAGATTATGGCCAAAAGTTTTTCAGTTAGATCTTATTTGATGTTAGATAATGAAATGAACTCCAAAATACAGAAAAGGCATATGACCTAAAAAATGTCAGGAAAAATTACCAAAGTGCAATAGCATAAATTATAGGCCATCATGATTGATGGATATAAAGATGCAAAATCCAAAGTGGCAATTGGCTTTTCAAAGAATCCTGCCTTCGCTTCCAAAACCTGGATTTGTAAGTTATGGATATCAAAGCCCACATAATTTCTCATACCATTCAAAGTCAGTATAAAGCGCAAAATGAGAAACATCAAATGCACAGAGAAGAGAGAAAATCCGAAACAGTAAGTACCAGGTCACAATATGTAACTTACGTAGTCTGAACATATAGCAGCAGTATCCATCTTACTACCATATATTCCGAGCAATAAAACTAAGCATTCTCAATTCTTTTTTCTTTTCTTTTTTTTTTTTTAAGGAAAAGATGAAATTTTATTTCACAAAAGAAACTGTATAGCACTGTGGATAAGCAATCCACCATGAATATATAAGATAAAACAATTATTCATGTTACAACTAATTTTGTAAACCAAGACACTACAGCTTTCCAGTGTAAAACAATGTCAGAAATAGAAGTGTTTGTAAACTCAAGAGAAACATATGCCCAAAGTACCACCCAATACCTGACCTTCTCCCGCACCTCCTCCACTTCCAACCCCCTAACAACTTCGAATATCCTTTGGTTTCTTTCCGACCAAATAGCCCAAATGATTGCCATCATCGTACAGCCCTATAATACTTTAGCCTTCTTTGCACCACCTAATACTTTTAATTTCTCACCCAGCAAAGAAAAGCAGTCTTCTGGTGGCACCCAACTTACATTAATCTCATTAAATAAAAAACACCATAATTTCCAGCTAAACAGGCAAGATCAGAAGACATGATCCACACTCTCCCCCGCACTCTTGCACAAAATACACCTTAGCACTACAAAAAATTTTACCTTTACATTTAAGGTTAATCTAAGATCATACGATGATTGCACAATTCCATGTACACCATGTTCTAACTCGTTCTGTTGTTTTAACTTACTGTGAAATATAAAATTATAGCAACAATGCTCGTTGTAGTTAGAGTAATAGTTATAATATTCACCCTAGACATCTATGCTCAACTCCAAAAACTAATATTGGATCATTAGCAGAGATGAAAAGCACTTACTAACTTCCAATGGATGTGTTGTAAAAGAGCAAAGATTGTACCTAGTCTCCACCCTCCCCTTCCCTCCCCTCCACCTCTCCCACCATCCCTCCCATCCTTGAAAATATTCACCCAAATTGGAAATCATATCATTTAATTGTTATCAAATAAATATGACCACAATGATTCCGGTTTGGTTGAAACTATCACCATTTAATAAAAAAGTTAGAGAGTTTTCAATTTGGCTGGTTTTTTCAAGAATGATCCTTCGCTGGAGACTTACAAACTATAAACTTCGGATCATCAAACTATACACTATATGAATATATTGTTATTTGAAGAACCCCTCAACTGAAGCACTTTCTATGTGTGTGTGTGTGTGTGTGTGTGTGTGTGTGTGTGTGCGCGTGTGTGTGTATATAACTATTTTCTTATCCAGACAGTACTTCCCTTATTTGCATAAGAAGCCAAGCAAAGAAAGTTTGAACGGAGTAGCTGGACACAGGAGTTATGGGAGACAATTAAGCATTGGGAAAAGAAGGAAAGAAGCTTGAAAGAAGACATTTCAAAGGAGAAATTTAAGAAGTAATCTTAGCATGGCTGCCCAGCCCTACTTCTTTCTTAAGACCTAGGCAGGCCAAGTTATAGCATAAAGTCAGTGATTTTACAAAATTATCCTGGAGTGGACATAAGCAAGATTTTGCATACAAAGGGAAATTTTTAGTAAGAATTTAAGAGGCGTACATTGAGAAACATAAATCTGCAGTCTAAGAAGAAAAAAAATTCCTCCCCTTAAATCTGCAAAAGAAACTACACTTTATAGACTGAAACATCAGCCCAGCAAAGACAATATTTTATTTATAAAAGCAAGTAGAATGTTTATAAACAACCTGAAGAAAATAAAGTTCAGAGAGAGTAATATTCAAAAGATTGATATAATAAGATCTCCATCATAAACATGAAACACCTTCCCTGCACAACCCCCAGCCCAAAGAAGAGTAGTTCTTTTACACTGCTAGCATGACGATGCTATTATAAGCAACTGAAGTGGCAGTCAAGACAATGAACTTACAGTGGCACCTTCGTATTTCCCTTGCTCAGATCCAGCCTGTTTGACATTTGGAATAAGAAGGTTCTTTTGTTTTGCCTTCCTAAGAAGCTGAGAAAGCACCTGAAAATGGTTGGGATTAAATATCTTCGTATCTAAACTATTGTGTTATTTGCAAGTCTTCATTTCAAAATTTATTATAATAACCTTGATGCTCTGCCCTCTGGATAGAAGAAATGATATGGGAACACCTGTCACTCGAGCCATCTCTACATAATTGTAAATATACATCAGTTTGTCCAAAAGCCTCTGCGGGAGGTAAGCATCCTGCAATGACACAGGAAAGTTGATCAATTGTGTCACATAATTTGAAGTGTATTTTCTTCTATTTAAAGTTGAATTAATACTATGCTCTCATATAAATCTTGTATTTCTTAGAAAAAGAAATTGATAATGCATTCTCGTCTATATTACATGTAAATGCAATGGAACATATACAAAATGATACACGTACTGCAATTCTTTGAAAACTATGATGTGAATACCAACGATATGACGATTAAATGATATTATATGTTTTGTATTCACTGATTCCATTCCATTTCCATTTTTCTTTTCTCCTTTTCCTCTCTTACATGAGATGCAAAAGCCAGAACCCCAGCACATTGGGTTTTCCAGCTGAAGATGAGTTTCCTGAGCTTATTAGGACGAATAGTCTTGGAGGATAAGAATCCTATTCCCAATTGGAATTGTTATCCCACATTGAAGAGGGTTTAATATATTTGGTAATCATATTCCTATTAGGATTAGATTCCCTCATTGATCACGACAGCCTTTATAGTGGCTATATAAGGAGATCTGTTGTGCTAGTTTACAAGCATCATCATCAGCAAGCAAAAGATAACAATATTCAGAATTCCACTTCAAAAAGTGAGTGAGCGGGAATACCACTCCGGAGAGAGAGTGAGTGGAGAGCAAAACAATTGAGTATCACTCAAGGAGTTAAAAGTGAGAGAATATTGAAGGGCAAAACAATTGATTTTCCTTGATTTCTTGTTCTTTCTAATTGTTCATCAAGTCTTGAATCTAGAGGCTTGATCAGATAATCTGTTGCACCCATTATTGATGTAGTGGACATTTGTTGTTGCTGCCCCATGGAGATAGGCATCTAGCCAAACCATGTTAATTCTTGGTGTTTTTTATCTTCTTCTTTATTTCCTTGGGGTTCCTGAGTTCGTTTGTCTTTCCAATTGTTAAATGATTTCACAACACAGACAATACTGCATAAGGAAGAAAACAAAGAGCTCCTCACTTTCACGAATATTTTTTTTTTTCATGTTGTCCATTAACTTCAAACTACAATTGCATTCCATCACATTCCTATAATGATTATCTAAACTAATTGTGTGGGAGTAAAGCCTAACAAGCATCTTCTAGTTGAGAAAGCTTTTCATGCAAGCTGAGTTTGTCTCTAGATCATCTGCTGAGGATGAGTATCATGCCATGGCTTAAAACACCTGTGAGATCTTATGGCTTCTATCCTTTCTTGATGAGTTGGGGACACTTTTCTGCATCATATCTCGTGATAACAACTCTACCATTATGTTAGTTTCAGATTCTAAACAGATCAAGGTTGATACAGTTTATTTGAGAATGTTGTTCCAGCCTTTCTTCCATCATTAGAGCAGACAGATGACATAATCCATTAAACTGTCCTTACTCCAGGCTTTCTATACGCAAGCTGGGTTTGGTGGACATCTTTGCTCCAGATTGAGAGAGATTATTGGAAATTAGTGTCATTTAAATTTATCATTAATATTGTTATACCTTCAACTGTATTTTTGTCAATTACATAAATATTTAACATAATAGAAGTTCTTGGCCACCAAACTTTGTATTTGAAAGGAACTAAAATACTAAACAATCACAGCAATTACTTTCATTATGAGGTTCATCACAATAACAGATAACAGGTACTAGAGTAACTTTTCTGCAACCTTCTTAAATTGTAAATGTGCTACACTTTAATGTCATAATGAAGGTAAGGTGGAAGAATCAAAACCAGATACACACCTTTAGACAATACACAGCAAGTCGCCTCCTAGTTTCTGCATTGCCATTCTGAAGATCAGATATTATTGAATGGTGGACATCCTCTTTCTGCATGTGATCCAAATGGTGCCAAAATATTAACAAGCATGACGGTTTGGACCAAAAAAAAAAAAGGCATGGCGCATTACTTGCCAGAAATAAAGAAATCAAGATAGACAGTAATGATCTTTCCCCCGTTCATTTAAAGATCAAATGGAGAGACTATTTCATGACTAGTTATGGCAGATATACAAGTGAAGATAATACAAGAGAACCAATTAGCAAGTAGAAACTCAGAAAATTTCTAAACAAGAAATGGGCAAAGACTTTGAGAATATATTTTAACAGAAAGAAAAATTAGCAGGATTTGAAAGCTTGGATGTGCTCATAGAATGGAAGGAGAAAAGGTGGGGCTTGGAGCGGGAAAACATGGGAAATTGTGAAGCCCTACTAACAAGGATGACATTATCCAGTAAAGAAAGCTGGTGGAGTTCATGTCCAATCAGATAGCTCTGAGTAATTATTATAATTGAGATCTATGCCCAGAACAATTTGTTAGAGATTTAGTGCCCACTGTAATTAGGTTAACCCAAACAAATAATAGGTGGAAGTAGTTAGCAAAAATATGATAGCATGTGGCCAAATGAGTGAGAAAAAATGAAGGACCAGGACTCAATTTAGTGGTGTCATCTTAATATAGGCTGTGTTTACCACCAATGTCTATCAAACTTATCTGACGCTTGGGTACAACAAAAGATGGAAATAAAGGGCATAACATAAACAGAACCTGAAGCTGGCTTTTTTAATTCATAAATTTACAACACAATTCAATTATAATTGTAAATCCAAACTTCATGCACTAAAAATATGGTTATCTATCCTTCTTATGCACATGAACATGGTCATAGCTTTTTCCATTAATGATATTTCTCAAAATCAAATCCTTTACAGATTCATATGTATATGGAAGGAATCAAGGCAAACAATCTATTAGGGACATACTACGGGTCTTTTACTGCAATAAACACTTTCCGGAAGTGCTGGAAAAATATATATATATATANNNNTATATATATATATATATATATATATATATATATATATATATATATATATCTTGAGAAAAATAAAAGCAGCAAATATCTCTACTTTAGATGTTAATATAGTCAGAAATGCTTTTATATTGACAGAAAAAAACACTAAATACTTTTGGGCTAAAGAGTGATCTTTTACCTAATATAAAAGCTGTGAAAAAGGGTAACTATATATATATATATGTGAAAAGAAATCAAAACCTTACCTGCTCAGAGAGAAAGTGTGCCGAGACAGAATTCAATGAATAAGAACTTAATTTGTAATCTCGTTGCATAGCCTACAACAAAAGGAAGTAAACAGAAATCAAGATGAACATTTCATTGAATTCATCAGAATAACAAATCTCAAGGATCAGGAATAGAGTAAATTGAACCAGAAGACAGTGATAAAACCTGGAGTAAATCAAATTGAACCCTCCCTTCAACTGTTACTTCTTTACTTTCCCTGGTTCCATACTGCCTGTAATACCAATATTTTTTTGTAAGAAACAAGAAACTTTGCTAAAAACACAAAAAAAAGTACAAAGCACGATGGAGAAGTCAATCAGGAAAAATATAAGGACAACAAAAATAACCAATAGACCAGCCAAAGGCCAGATCAATCACACACCATTATACTGAAAAAACAGACCCAATGGGAGAGCGGTAATTTTAAAGAAGAAAACAAATATAAAAACCACACAAACAATTCTCATCAAAATGGTGGTGTGCATAACACAGTAGTAGAAATAAAAATGTAACAGAAGTATATTAATCATAAAAAGAAGATAATCTTCCCAGCCCTAGTCACTTTGTGGATCAACTGTTAATTCCCCTCCTCATATAAGTGACCGACATTACCTCAGTTATACAAAAGAGAAAACAAAGCAAAAAACATCAGCAAGAAAATCCAAATTGCCATTTTGATGATTCAAAATGGATAAAGTCTAGCAGCAGTCATAGAAATACTTTTAATTTCTTACCTTGAAGAAAAAGTAGTATCTTTGACCCGAACCCTGCTATTTTTTATGCGGCCAAGTATTGGAAACTCAGCTATTCCCAAGGTCTCAGCTCTCTGAAAACCAAAAAATCAGGACGATGAACTGGCTCACTTTTTTTTTCATCGTTATTCGCAACCCTTTATGCTTTAAATATGATAATGCACAGAAAATAAGCATAACATGCTTCAGTTACCTCAATGAGATATGGCAAATCAAATTTACAGATGTTATATCCAATTATGACATCTGGGTCCACCTCACGGATTAAATCCTACAAGAAGATTTTGCTTATTAAACAATTATCACACATCTAAACTTCATGCATAAAAGTTAGATAAAACAGACTGTTAGAATAGAAAATAATTATTGGCCTACATCCTAACAGCTTCAGCATTTAGGAATAGTGGGAAACCAACAACCTTTATCATACAAAAGATCTTATTTTCAATTTCCTGAAATTGTAACTTCCCAATGTTAAGTCGAATTCAACAACTTCGGTCCTAGTGGTGGAGAAGGCCCACATGAGAGGGCAACTGTTAGAGCATAAACCATTGTTGACCCACTTCCTATCCGCTTGAGAATAGTAGCAAACCAACAAAATTTAGCTCTTATAATCAAATTATGGGTGGAAATATAGAAGACAAAAATGCAATACTCATCTCTAGTGCTAAGACCATAAGTCAAGTCATTGGTGACATTTATGCTTCTTTCCATTCCCTTGTCTTGATCTCAAGCATATATTGAAAGGCAAACAATCACCCAAGGTAATTACAAAAGAAAACTGTGCACTTTTCTCAGTCCAGATGCCCATCACAGGATAAGAATTATTTTTATCTTCCATTTACCAGAATGATGTTGAAATTTACATCATTGCCTTTGTTCCAAAGCTCCTATTAAACCCAACTTTCTAGATCTCTCTGTATTACTTCTCCTATCTTAATTTTGGTTAGGGTAATAGTTTTGTACCTTCTACTTTGTTTCAAATCTCCTATTAAACCTAATTTCTAGATCTCTTTGTATTACTTCTCCTATCCTAATTTTGGTTGGGCTATTAGTTCTTTACCTTCCTACTCTAACTATTCTTCCTTTAAGTAATCTTCATTTTTTTACCCTCTAGAGGACATATTTCCCTCTGGTACAATTTCTTTTTTATTAATAAAGTCTTGGTTCCTAACAAAAAAAAGAAAGATACATACAGTTTTCATAGATGACTAGAGATATTTGGCACAACAGAAGCAAAAACATTAACAAATATGAATGACTAAAATATAGTAAAAGAAAAACCATAAGCAATAAAAGAACAAGTGAGCAAACAAAATGGGGACTCAGGTAAAGAGATAAAATCATTACATAAATTCTACAAAACAGAATGAAAAGGACCACATAGTATGCAAGTAGCATAACATCAGATGGTTGCGTATCAGGCTTTGGCTTAAGTGCCACACATAATACAGAATGTATTCGTATTTAAAAATAAAAGCCACTGAACAGTTTTAGACTGTTAACAACAGAGTTACATCAAAATTACAAGGTATCTTCCCGCTTTTTTTTTTTTTTTTTTTTTTTTTTTTTTTTT